TCAATGACTCAACCCTAAACCCTCAAGCAAAAAACCAACCCTAAACCCTAAACCCTCAATGACTCAACCCTAAACCCTCAAACAAAAAACCCTAAACCCTCAACCCTCAACCCTAAACACAAGACATCCCTAAAGCCTGGCTTAGGCAAGACCTAGACCACACAGAACCTACCTGTTTAAGGACTTATATAAGGAACTCATAAAGGATGGTTTAGGGCTTTAGGGTTTAGGGTTTAGGGTTTAGGGGCTCATAACCCTAAACCCTAAACCCTAAACCCTAAACCGGGGAGGTGCTTAAGGGTCCAGGGATACCTTCAGAAGCCAGGCCCCGGCCCGGGTCGGCAGTGCACGGCGCCTAGAGACCCAGTACCTACAAAGTACAGTGTGGGGTTTACATACATATATATATATATATATATAGATATGCACACACATATATATTATATTATATATATATATTATATTATATATATACATACATACATACATACATACATACATACATACATACATACATACGTACATGCGTACATACATATATATATATATATATGTATATATAATGTAATTATGTATACTAGGCATCACGATCATGATGATTTGAGAAAGCATCCCTCCTTTGAGTACTTAGGATGCTTTGGGAGACGACCATCAACCTTCCAAGTCATGACATGACAGCGTACCAGAATGCGCTGAGCGACAGTGTCCTGCCTCAAAACGGTTTAATGCATGAACCTAATTAAGAAAACTTTGATCTCTAGGGTTCGTTGTATGGACCCTAATCAATATTCTTGGGGTCATAGGACCTCGGTTGCTTAATCAGGTTCCTACATTACCTGCTGAAGCCTGAAAAAAGCCTATCATACACCTCAGAACCCTGTAGAGCCTTCAACTTCCAAAACTCAAACTTTCGCGCTGAAAGGGTGCCCTAGAACCAAGGAAATCTGAATCCTGATGCCACAACTAGCGCCACTCCTTGAGATTTGTTTCAAGATTACGAAAGGGTTCCGGGTCCAAGCTCTTACCCCATAGCTCCAGCCCCTGTGACGTTTAGGTCTAAGGACTTTAGGAGGGACCCCTAATAGGGACCCTTAATCCCATTACCGAAAATAAACATTGTATAGTCCTTATATACCCCTTATATAGCCAAGTAGTCTCCATATTCACCCCAATAACCTACAAGGGTCCCTATTAAGGGTCCCTCCAAAAGCCCTCAGATACCCCTAAACCCTAAACCCCTAAACCCCTAAACCCTAAACCCTAAACCCTAAACCCCTAAACCCTAAACCCCTGTGACGTTTAGGGTCCTCAGGCCCCGGCGGAGCCGCTGGTGGCGGTGCTAGCAAGGGCTGAGGCTCACAGCGAACGATGTCGATGAGGGCCCTCGGCTTTTAGGGTTTAGGATTTAGGGTTTAGGGTTTAGGGCTTAGGCTTTAGGGTTTGGGGTTTAGGGCTTTGGGTTTGGGGCTTCGGGTTTAGGGCTTAGGCTTTAGGGCTGGAGAGTTTAGCGGCATGGGACTTGGGGTTTAGAGTCTAGCGATATAGGACTTAGGGTTCAGAGTTTAGGGTTTAGGGTTGAGGATACGAAACACTAGGTTAGGATAGAGTAGCATGATAAAGACGAGTAGCATGATCAAGACACTTGTATCAGGGAACCTTGCGCAAATGGCCATGACGAGAAAGAAAGTCTGGCTTCTTTGTTCTGGTATGTCCGAAGATGATTGGAGAATGGTACGGATACCCAATTATCTGGGGTTTAGGGTTTAGCGTTTAGGGTGTGTGAATCTTTAGACTTAGATGTCCTTGGGGCTGGCCTAGGGTTCATGGGCTTCTTGGACTAGATTGGGGTCTCGAAATCCGTAAAGCCTTCATCATTTTCGGCCCAGGACCAACTTCAAACCCCACGTTCTCCTTGCATGCCCTAAATTAAAGGAAACTGCAGGTGGGGAGTTTAGGGTATATAGGGCTTCTATAAGGCTTCCATGAGGTATATAGACCTTCTATAAGGCTCCTATAACGGTAACTACCCACCTGAAAATGTCCTACAACTCTATCCCGTAAAACCCTAGACACTAAACCCTAAACCGCATTGCATAGCTTGTAGAACCCTAAACCCTAAACCCTAAACCCTCAACCCTAAACCCTAAACCCTAAACCGTGAATCGCGGAAGTTCTGGGGACCTCAGGACCCTTAACCCTACGGCCTGGCTTTCTGCAAGCACTTCCCATAGCCGGATCTGCATGGTGGTGTCTCATGGCATATATGCTAAAAACCCTCAAGCCAGAGTCGCAACGTCTCAAAGACCTAAACGCTCACAACCCTAAGCCCTCAAAGCCAACAGTTCAGCTAAAAGCCTCAAACCCTAAAAAATCTCTAACTCCTAAACCCTGAAATTCTAAACCTTAAACTAAACCCTAAACCCTAATTCTATGTAAACCCGCTGAAATGCATCCGTGCCTGCCATCGTCTCCTCTGGCAGCAGCCTCTCCGAGGACCTCGGCGTCCCGAAGCAGCCGCCCAGCAGAGAGCAGCCTCGCTTAGGATTTTAGGGTTTAGGGGTTTAGGGTTTAGGGGTTTAGGGTTTAGGGGTTTAGAGTTTAAGGGCTTAGGGTTTAGGGGTTTAGGGGTTCAGGGGTTTAGGATTTTAGGGTTTAGGATGTAGGGGTTACTCTGCGGCCTTTCAGCTCCTCCCTGCTGTTGGGGTTGAGGGCTTAGGATGGGTTTAGGGTTTAGGGTTTAGGGTTTAGGGTTTAGGGTTTAGGGTTTAGGGTTTAGGGGTTTAGGGTTCAGGGCTTAGGATGTTGTAGTACTGGGTGCTGGCCCCATTTCAGCTCCACCAGTGGCTGGCCCCAAGTCCCTTCTTGGCCAGTGGCTTGTTGTGGCTTTTCCGGGTGTCTAACGTGCATCGGTTTTCCCGTTTCCCGGAGTCCTGTATATACCCTAAACTAAACCCCTATATAAAGCTTCGGCAGTTATGGTTTGGGAAAACAGACAACGGGTTGGGCATCGTAGGGCTCAGTAGTTTTCATAAGATGACCCTAAACCCTAAAAGGTTTTCATAAGATGACTCGGTGCCTTTGCCGGATGAGTCAAGTCGCAGGGATGCGACTGGAGGGGCAATATGGTCCCCTCAGCGCTTCAGGGCCCTGAACCCTAAACCTGTACATGAACCTACCACAGCCTAGCTTTTTGTTAGTGTTTCTGAAAAACCAATAAGATTTACAATAAGAACTTGCAGGCAAGTCGGCTTAAGGTAGTGTTCAGGGTTGGGGGCTTTATGGCGAGGTTTGGCCGGAAACACTTGGATTGTTTTCTGGCGGTTTGGTTTTCTGATCCAACTGGAAACCCAAGAAGTTTAGGGTTCACGGCTTGGGGTTTAGGGTTTGGGGCTTCGTCTTGTGAGGGCACCACTGGAACTAGTCGGTCGAGTTTGGCACGTCGTGTCAAGAAATCATGGCGTTAGGGTTTAGGGTTTTGGGGGGCTTAGGGTGTGGGGTTTAGGTGCTTCGGATAAGATTTTAGTGAACCCTAAACCCTAAACCCTAAACCCTAAACCCTAAACCCTAAAATGTATGGATTGGGTTTCTAGGACGTCATGGGCGCAGGCGTAGAACTCGGAGGGAGTGGTCAAGGGTTAGGGTTCCAGATCAAGTCTCCTGCCGGAATCATCACCAATGCTTAAGCAGGATTGGGGTTCTGGAAATTAGGGTTTAGGTTTTAGGGACTTAAGGTTTAAGGTTTAGGGTTTTGGGTTTAGGGGTTGAGGGGTTTAGGGGTTTAGGGTTTAGGGGCTTAAGGTTTAGTTTA